CACAGAACATAAACAGTTAGGAAAACCATTTTACTGGAATAAGCAAATTAAAATTGAAGTTCCTTATTGGTCCCACAATAGAGGGAATTCACAGTGTCAGTCTTTGCAACCCACACAGGCTGCTGTAGGAGGCGCTATTAGCTATGTGGTCCCTACACAGAACACAGAACCTTCTGTTTGTAAGGCAGATGGGTGAGGCAGTTCTGATCATTGGTCAGCAGTTTGTTTTTTTGCTTAGAAAAGAATGTATTGCTGGTAGAAGAATTCCATTAAAGTTGGAAGAAGCTGCACTATGTATTTTTGAATCTTAAAGCACGAGATAGGGTTAGTGAAGAACTGTAGTTCTGTTTGAAAAAAAAAGAAGTGGCAGAAAAGTATGTAAAAGTGGTGCAGGACCGGCTGATGAGACATTGTGTGCAGGTTTACTATAGAGCAGATGATTAATTTTGGTGACCCCTGGAGGTTGCAGTGAAAAAGGAGAAGAATAATTGAATTGAATCACATCTTTGTCTTTACTTTAATATACACACAGAAATTGTCCGTCGTAAATGTGCTTGAACCCTGAGGGCATGATGGCATTTTTGCAAAAAATTGCACGTTCTAAATGACCTAAACCCTACTCTTAGCTCTTCCAAACAGCTTTATGTACATGGCAGCTGTTATTACTACTACTTCTTTTTTTTTACCTCATGTCTAGAAGCTACTTTTCTCCCTTTTCTTACATTTTCATGTCACAGCAGTCATTCCACCCCCCAGCACTGTATTAGTGTTGGCTTCATTTGGCTGTAGAACACTAACAGCCTATTCTCCTTGCTCATACTCTCCTGGCTGAGTGGTTAGCCTGGAGCGCTAGCAGCACTTTGCACACACACACATACCCAGAAACACACTTGGCATCTTTATGTGGTTTTTGTGCACTTCCCTCACCCTCCCCTTCACATACTGTTCTTCTCTGCATGTGGCTCATCTTTGTGTGCATGTCACAGATTATTCAGAGCTATATGATATATTGTCTAGATAAGTAGCTCCATCATTACCTAAAAAACACTTACAGTATTATTCCTAGAATGTAGGACAACACACAGACACACACCGTAACTCGTAACAGGCGTTTCATCGACTGTATTGGAGCTGACCTGACCTGCCTTAATGCTTTGGAAAGAACAAGATGAAGGGTTATAGAAGGGACATGCCTCCACCAATCACAGCTCTCCGTTCACTGAATACACACACAAACACACACTATCGCTGTCCCTGCTTGCCTATTGATTAGTCATGCCTGGTTGCTGTCATGTGCAGGAGTCTAGGGGAAGTCCCTAATTGGTTGGTCCGGGAAAGAGAGAGTAGGAAAGAGGGGAGAGCTGCAGAGAGGGCGGTCAGAGGGTGATGAGATGGAGGCAGCAAAGAAAGATGAGAGAGGCTGAGGAGGAACGTAAAGATTTGGTCTTTTGATTAAACCTACAGAAGGACTGGATGAAGCAAGAGACAAGACAATTATAAATAACTATGATATTGAGAACTGCTGAACTTTAATCTCTTATTAAATTAAAAAAAAAAAACCTCATAAAAACATTTAAACCTCAATAATGAGCTCTACATCTTGCCTGAGACGAATACACCAAACTGCATCATTGACATGGAAATCTATCCTCCAACTTTGAACCAAACAGCTGGATACTAGGAAATTGGAATGACTGACGACTGGAGGGAATTACAGTTATGGAATAAGAAGGAAATATACTACCCTGGACTGTACAGGACAGGAACAGAGGTCATTCGGTCGCAGGTCTACAGTGTTTCCCATTACCTTCAGACTTTGGACGATCTCCATGCTCCTGAAAGCAAGATAGGAGTTGCCCTCAAGAGGAAACTATCTTCTGGGACCAGTCAATGTTTTAGTTAGTTGTGGATTGACGATGACTGGGAGGATTGTTTTCTAATGTCTTCATTCACTCACCCTTCTTAAATAGAATGGATTGAATAAAAAGCCATTGTGCTGAACCTAAGAAGGCTGGAAGGTTCTGGAGCCATGACCTACATATTTTGGACTCATGAATCTGAGGAGGTGCTTTTTTATCACTCTTAAGGAGACAGGAGCGCAGTCTCGGTGAAAATACAGCACTAAGAACTGGATTACCTTTTAAATGTCCGCAGCTATGACCACTTACTTTAACAGCCATGAGTTCTGCTGCAGCCCCAAGAAGCCCAGCAGTGGCTCCACTAAAAGCAAATCTGGAAAAGGGAAGTCCAAATCCAGCAAGAACATCCCTCATTCAAAACAAACCCAGAATTTACTTCAAATACAGACTTCAAATCAACTACTACCTTCGCCCCTGCCCTCGCCAAAGTGCCATCATCATTCGCCAAAACACCTGCTCCCTTCGCCGTCTCCGAGCTACTATCACATAGCACCAGCATCTCCAAATCGTCAGTTACCTCCACCCTCGCCAACATACCACCTGGCTCCACCGTCACCCAGTCACCGTCTCCACTCATCGAGCCACCAGCAACTTCATCTGTCCCCAAGTCATCAGCATCTTCATCAGCAGTCCCACGCCTCGACCTCACCCTGTCACCTGTTCTCCTCTCTTTCAACACATCAACTCTACCAACATCACCCGCAGCAAACCCAGCTCCATCCACCCAGTCACCAGTTTTTAATTCAGCCGCACCAGCACCACTATCCTCCTCTTCTTCCTCACGCCTCCCAGTCTCTGTCCATCCACCCTTTCCACTCAGCCCAGCTCCCCCTTTGCCCTGGGCTGAATGGGTACGGTTGGAACACCCTGCCAACTAAACTGACCAACAGGAGCTCTAAAGGAAAGTTCCCTAATTTAAAGGACAGTGTCAAAAAGAGTCCCACGAAGAGTAAAGGCAAGGGCAAAGCTGGGGTCAGGCCGTGGCCCAATAACACATGCATGTGGACCGCACATTCAACGGCAGCTCCTCCACATCTGCTGCTCACCCACTTCCCACAAATCCAGGCTCATTATATACAGGTAGGCTGACCGGGTGGCTGTTCTCATGTGGCTCATGGGTCAAAAGGTGGTTCAGCATTTGACCAGAGGGCCCGTTTAGTATTTTGCAACTTTTTAACTGTATAATTACATAATCATCTAATTGGACTTGGAGTATTGTATAAATGACACTAGATAAACTGAGGAGAGAGCAGCCAGGTGTTTGTTAGCTGTTGCTTGGGTCATTATTGCTCTGTACGTCTGCTGTATAGACTCTGCAAAGAGGCACCAGGTAGTAATTAGCATGATTAGCACGTCTCCGCTGATCTGATTAGAGCCAGGTTAAATATAACGAGCCCATTATTCAAATAGAGATTTGTGGCAGATTTGGAAGACGAGTTAATGAGTGACAGTAAAAGTAGTGTCTACAGGTGGAGAGGACGCTGTGAAGTTGGACTTCAACAGCGGTTCTGTTTGATAAAAGTTCCAAGTGCAGAACTGATGTGTAAGGAAGGCAAGGTCAAAAGAAAGTGAGAAGAAAAAAGCTTTTAATTAGTTTTAACCCAGTCAGTTGTCATTAGGTGTAACTTGGTCAGTTATTAAAGACGACTTACAGTCGTCCACAGCAAACCTTGGTGTCCATCGCCAAACCATGGCGTGGAAAGCATTTGCCATAGTACTGTAGTACACTTCCTCAGCTGATGTTAACCAGATCATAACAGCGCAGTAACACATCCAGTGTAACAGCAATTATGTAACAATTACATATAAATGCAAGAACACAAACATAATTGTTACATAATTGAGCTGTTTGTCACTGCTTTCTAACGGATTACAAACTGACTGGCCAGATTTATCACTCGCTCCACTCCCCCTCCCTCTCTCTCTCTTTCACACACACACACATGCACACAACACACAGAAACAAAGATGTCCCCACAGCTGCTGTATCTCTTTTCTCCTCACTAGTTTCTCTATCCCTGCGTAGGTATTCACGTTTAGTTTTATTCATTTTCCTTCTTTCTTGCCTCTGCTTCAGTGAAGGTTGTGTACGTTTGGTTTGTAACCTCTGCTCCTTACGGCTGTTGTTGAGCAGCCAGATTTGACTTTCCCAATCATGGCCATAATCCCTCTGATCCTCTGCCTCTTTCTGTTCCTGTGTTGGATAAAGCATCAGTCATTCAGACTGATGGACAGCTGGACATGTGGTGCTGGAGAGAGAAGATAAAGGAGTAGAAATGAGGGAGAGAGAGAGAGGTTAGGATTAGAGAAGACCAATAGATGCCATTGTTGCTCTGTTGTGCATTGATTTCTGCTGAAATCCACCCCGAGCGTCTTTTCCCGTTTCATTTTTGTTCATGCAGTTGGTTCGAGGACTCTTTTATTTTTTTTGATGAGGAACACAAGTCCGAGCTTCAGGTTGCCCTTTGTGGACTGACTTGATTAGAAGTCTGTAACCTAATTCTGTCCAGTTTCAATTTGGAACTGCAGGCACTGAATTGGTGTGCAGCAAATATTTACTAAGAGAGACAGGAGTTAGTTAGACAGGTGGTACGGTGTGTTGACTTTGACACTAATGTCTGACCTGCTGTGGTTAGTTATGAATAGTTTGTGAAAAGATAATCAGTCTTTGTAGAGAAACAGAAGAAATGAAGCCGTTGCTCCGTAGAGATAACGAACCGTCTTAGACACTAAGGTTGAGGACGTTGTTGATCTGGTCTTAGTAAATTCTGACAATATTGCAGTAAAGCTACTTCAGTTCTGTAATGCATGCTTGGCAGTGTAGTACAGTTGTACTCACAGCTACTTCAGTTCTGTAATGCGTGCTTGGCAGTGTAGTACAGTTGTACTCCGTAGTCCGCGGGCTGTGCAGTATGTCATGTGGTGCATGTCGTAGCTCTGCGGTGGCTTCCTGTAGTAGCACAGGTTTTCGACATGCCGTACGAAAACCTGAGAAGAGTAAGTCGTGGTTTCACACTTTCCAACGTCTGTCGGTGAACAAAAAAGGGGGAAGTTTCACGATTCTTCTGGTCTCTCTTTCAGGCCAACCCTCCGCCGGTGGTGGTCAACGCAGACAGCATCGATACTCCTCCCTATGTGAGTACCACCTGTGTATAACTGAATACCTGATCATGTACTGTGTAAAAGGTTCATTGGTCATGTGACAGAGTTTGAAACCCACCACAGTGTCCATAGGCTTCTGCTGTAATGCGATGACTTTTAGTGCTGATAAATATATGTCGTCCAGGTCCAGAGAAATGACTTGCAGACAGAAGAAGAACAAGAAACACATTTTGTCGGTTAATAAATACATCAAACAGTTTTTGGTTTGAGTCTTAGTTGCAATTTACAATATAATTTCTTTTTTCCTGATTTTAATTCACTGCATTTGACAGTTTATACAGGAAATAGTTATAGAAATAGAGTTCAACACTGTTAAGAAGCCTTTCAAACCTCCTCAAAGGAAACTCTTGTCTTTATCCACTGTCTGAAAGAGAAATTATTGATAAATACATCAAGGTTTTATCCAGATTTAAATATGGAACACCAAAAATGTCACTTATATAATTTGTTTCTGCACCGACTATATATAGTTCCTGTCACACCTCATTCAAACGTAGCACCTTTTGTTTTCACACTGCTGTTGTAGTAACTTATTAATATAACAAAGCGATAAGTAATTATTAACTTATATTTACACGGACAAACACGGCAGCTAAAAAGACAATTGAAGTGGGCTGATGGGAAATTGTTCAATATAACAGAAAAAAATCAACATCTAATCTAATCTGACTGTAACACAGATTACAGCTAAGGGGATTACAGGAGACCAGTGGGAGGCCAGTCCACTACAGATGCTCACTTCTCTCCCAGTACAAACGTCTATAAAATACCAAATGAAATCCTTCTCCATTTTTTTTAGATTTCGTCAACGAATGTAGTTATTAATATCTTTTATGATACGGTCACAGGCAGCTGATTAATCCTGAGCGTGACATCACAGATGCATCATCACTAAGTGCACTTCTGCAGTTCTAATCTGTAGGTTTCATGCGTCATTCATAAAATTCACTTTTCTCCTTTATCCTGACGTTTGTTGCATAATGTTTAATCAGCGGACGCCGCCGTTCAAACCATCACAGTGATTCATGTGTGTGTGCACAGCAGAAACGCTGCAGCGCGGTGACTCAGTGTGGTTGGTACTGTTTCTCCGTTTACACCAAAATGAAAGATACAAACTGAAAAAAGGGTCTGTCACAATGAGTGCGTGGTTAAAAATGGAACTCAAACTAGTGAAATGAAGTCTTAATACATCCCATAAAAACAGGAGGTCTTTTTGTACAATATCATTGTCAGCAGGACATGAAACATTTGATTTATTGACTGTTTTTACTTGTTTTTCTTCACCAGGCCAATGGAACAGAAGCAGACTATGAATATGAGGAAATCACACTGGAACGGGTAAAAAAAAAACACAACTTGTAATAACACGCCATTTACACGCATGCTAATTCATTCCCAACACTCCTAATGAACTCAGTGACATCAGCCTGTCACTGCGGGAACCTCCATCTGTCCACACTGACCTCCATTCTCTCTACTTTCTCAGTGGTTATTACGGAAAACACATCATTTATACATATACTTTTTGTGTGTTGGTAAACACACTTTAAACAGTTAGTTAAAATGTAAAAAAGAAAAGTGATGATACATTTTATCTTGTATGTACAAATGTTTGCATCCAGACCCTAAATTGTAAACATTGTAAACAATTGTAAACTGTAGAAACCCAGCAAACACGTTATTGTTCTTGGTTGAATTTAACACTCATTTTAATTACTATCAATAAGTGAAATTACAGGCAAAATAAAAAAAATCTGGTCTTGTCAGGTCAAGTACAAATCTGAACCACTGTAACATTTAGCATTACTTTGACTTTGATGTTTTTCCAACACAATGTCTTAAATTTAAAGCAGAAATAAACCTTTGAACCAGAGACTGTTTGGGTCATAGAAACTCTGTCTCTGTCTCATCTTCATTCTCTCCGTTCTCTGTCTCTTGTCCTCTTCTGGCCTTGTCCCACTGCTGGTCCAAACCTGTATCCCCGTCCTTCCATCCTCTCTTCTCTCACCCTGAGGCTCTCTCTCAGTCCCTCTCCTCCTCCTCCTCCTCTTCCTCTATTCTCCTATGACCTGGATCTGTCTGCTTCACTGGATCTGCTTTAAAGACACTCTGGACCGACACGCAAACACAGGCCCAGGCAACACAGCAGCACATTACAGCCTGATTAGCAGTGATATCATGGGACACGACGGAGTGAGAGGCGGAGGGTTCTAGATCTTTGATTAAGTCCATGAAGAACTAAATATAACATAACAGACAGACCAAATCTGCGTCATTTACAGACCTTTGTGTTCCACCAATATATTTTGTTAAATAAATGTTTTAAAAATGTGACTTTCTGTGCAGGGCAATTCTGGCCTGGGCTTCAGCATCGCAGGAGGGATTGATAACCCACACATCGGAGAAGACCCCTCCATCTTCATCACCAAAATTATACCTGGGGGAGCTGCAGCTCAGAACGGACGACTCAGGTGTGTTTCTGTCACTCGTCGTTTCTGCCTCTCTGTCCTTGTCCAGGCAGCAGCGTCCCTGAAGGCGCTCCAGGTTAATCACTGTAATACTCTGAAATTGAATATCCTGCCATCAGCACGTGGTTAAAGAAATGCTTTTTAGTTATGAAGAGTTTCCTAAAACAGACCCAGAGCTTTAAGGTCCACAGACCTCCAGAATTTCAAATACAATAAAAACAGATTTAATTAAAACTTATATACCAGCCATGTTGTGTGTTTGAGAGCGATTGACAGACTTGTTTTTGCACCCTGTGAGTTTAATACCAGTGGGGTAACATTTCCTTCCTGCTGCCGTTCAGGGTGAATGACTGCATAGTCCGTGTCAATGAGACGGACGTCAGGGAGGTGACCCACAGCGCGGCAGTGGAGGCACTGAAAGATGCAGGAGGTCTGGTCCGACTGTGCATACGACGCAGGAGGAGCCTCAGTGAGAGGATCGTGGATATCAAGCTGGTCAAAGGGCCAAAAGGTGAAGTGCAAAATAATACCTCTAGACTTCAGCTTCGAGTGTGGGGAATTACCACGCCACCTACTGCACGAAGGATGAAATGTTATCATATTGTGTTTTTGTTTGAACCAGGTCTGGGTTTCAGCATAGCAGGCGGAGTCGGGAACCAGCACGTCCCGGGCGACAACAGCATCTACGTGACCAAACTCATCGAAGGAGGGGCAGCGCACAAAGACGGACGGCTGCAGATAGGAGACAAACTCGTAGCGGTGAGGAAAATGTGTTCTTCATTTTCTGTCCTTTTTAAGTAGAGAGCAAAGACTAAAACTGTTCTAAAAAAAACGTTTCGATATTTAACAAATAAACTATATTCAGTGGATTTGGTCACAGCTGACACCGTCTCTGTTCCTGTCTGTCCAGGTCAACGCCTCCTGTTTGGAGGAGGTAACACATGAGGAGGCCGTGGCCGTGCTGAAGTCGACCACCGACGTTGTTTACCTGCATGTGGCCAAACACACCTCGCTTTTCATCAATGACAGCTTCCCTCCACCGGATGTCACTAACTGTGAGTACAGACACTAATGTCCTCGTATCGTATTCATTTTTTTTCCTATATTTGACAATAACGTCTCCACAGCGTGCTCCCCTCATCAAGACAACCACGTGAGCCCATACAGTGGCAGTCAGTCTGTAAGCCCCGCCCCTCTGACCACGCCCAGATACTCACCTCTGCCCAGGACGATGACTGCGGATGACGACTTCACCAGGTAAGAAAAATCAGTGAGAAACGTTTTCTAACATAGAGGTGTGTAGACTTTAGCTACAAATAAAGAAACCTTTATCATATTATGTTAAAATATGTGAAATTTAAACTTTTTATAGATGTTTTTGAGTTTAATTTTAAAGACCTAATGCAAATGTATCACTCCTGAATAATATTTCATTTTTATAAGTATTTCTATAAAAAAAAAAACTAAAAAACTTGCAATCAACAGCAGTATTTCTGGTAACCATTAAATTATTCCTATATTCAGATTTTTTTTTTCAGAGCTTGAAATTTAAAGTGAAGCAGACGCTCTGTCGTTTCACAAAACTACAAGATGATAATAAATTAAAAAATATGCATATGCGGGATAATAAACATAAAAATGCATGGTATAGACACAACTATTGATGTAAATATCAAGAAAATAAAAACAATAATTACAAAAAAATTCAGAGTACCATGGTGCTACTGTAGCCGTGATCTGCTGCTGGTACAACTATTGTACTGTTGTGCTGCTGCTGGTGCTGTGTGCATGTGTGAGTGTGACGCTGCAGCAGGCAGAAAAACACAAAAGTCAGTGCAAACCAGGCCACACACACACACACACACACGCTCATTCAGTCATGCAGATTTCCTGTCCCACTCTGCTGCCTTTAATCCATATTAATGGGTGGATTACGACCTATCACAGCCCTCGTCACTCAGCCGGCATCACCGTGGTTACCAGAATACGAATCATTTCGTCACAAGCCTCTCGGCCAATGAATGCACTCTGACTGGAAGAATTCAGATAAGTCACGGAGTGACTGTAGATCAGTCACGGTGACGTCTGCTCCTGTCTGTTCCTCACCTTTCTACTGATCTTTTTTATTTATTTATTTTTGACAAATAAATCGAAAAATGCAGATTTCACTAACTGTCAAAACACAAAGCACATCTGTCGTGCGCCGCCCGTCGAGGCTGTATAGGAATCCAGCTCTTCTCCATCCTTATTAGAATTCCTGTCTGTGTTCCATTGGTTTTATTGAGCTGCTGTTTTCATCAATTCGGTGTCTGTTGACCTCAATGCTTCAGGGTAGTTTAATCCAAGATCACAAGAGCTGAATGAGAAACAGTCTAGACTGTAAAGGCTCGTGTGAAGCTGTTGTCTGATTTGGATTGTCTGCAGTCAGTTTTTTTTCTATGCATACTAATAACATATTCTGTACTCAGATGTAGGAATAAGAGGATGATACTCTTCTCCTTAGGTCACAAAATAACAACAGACAACACATGTACTCAATAGTCCAAAACTGACCTCTGGTGGCTGATGTTTTTAAACTACATTTTCATTTTTCATTTTTATTCATTTTACACACCCATAATATCATTGCAAGTACAACTCAGTGTGCTTTACAATCCCAAAATATCTACTTGTTTTAAGAAATGTTCAAAATTTTACATAAAAAAATCGACATTTGTTGACTCGAATGTCTAAAGCTGATGTCTTAGTGTGTTCTCGGATTGTTGCAATGACAGATTTTACTAAAAATCAAATCATTCATGAATACAGTACAGTGACGCTATGGTTGAAATAAAACAGACGGTGCAACACTGACATCTGCTGGTCAGCTATGAGAACGTTTTGGATTTTTTTTTCACACTGAATTGTTAATACTTCGTGTTTTATTTTTCATATTAATTTTTCCTCAATTAACAAATTATTGAAATGTTTTTTATGGTGAACTCTAAGTGTGAAATACTACAGCGTCCACTGTAAGCATTTTTTTGTATGTGTGTTTTCTCCAGAGAACCAAGGCGGATCGTGCTGCAGCGAGGGTCAACGGGCCTCGGCTTCAACATTGTTGGGGGAGAAGATGGAGAAGGAATCTTCATCTCTTTCATTCTAGCCGGCGGCCCGGCCGACCTCTGTGGGGAGCTCCGGAAAGGAGATCGCCTCCTGTCGGTAGGAGCTAAAACCCTGATCCACACGATGGTGTCGTTGTTATAATAAAACTCAGTCTGCTGTTATTGGTTTAGAGAGTGTCCAGGATCGACAGGGGAGTCATTCTGTCAGTCTACACTATATTGTTCTTTTGATTTATGTTCTTTATAAAATATTCATCACAGTTGAGATATGGTTTATGTTTTGTTGTTTTTTAAACCTAATAATATCAGCCAATCAAAATGACTGTACTTTAATAGGGTTTTTTGTATTTTTAAAAAATAATTTCTCCTCATATCTATTGTTTATCATTGGACTATTCTGCTGATTTAGCTTTCATATAAGTCTTGACTCAGGTTTTCAGGCGTTCCCTTCACTTTATTTAATGTATTATTATTATCTATATTTATATATACTTTTTAATTTGACTATGCTAATCATTTCCTAGCTCATATTTTAGCTGTTTCTTTAAAAAAATGTTTAGAATTTGTTTGAAGCTTTTCCCCACATGGCTAACTTTAGCTAGAGCTAGCCTTCTCAAAAGCATTCTGAAAAGTTTAAAGAATCATTTTATCTCTTGTCAAAACAAGATATTGTTTTCTTACCCTTGTAACTGACAAGTGACTGGTCAGTGATGTGTGTGTGTGTTAAAGGTGAGAAAAAGCTCTTTTCCTCCTCACCCACCTCCCCCGCTGCCCCAGAAAGAAATATTGCTTCAATTTTCTGGAGAAATAATTAAGTTTCCAGACCTTGACATTTCCTGCAGACTGAGTATGACTGTGATGTGTGCGCGTGCATGTGAATATTGACATGGAGCGAGCCTTCACACGCACAGGCACCTGTGAATTATGGACTCTCGTCTGACTGAACATTTATGACACCAGTGACCTGACGTTGGCCCTGGTCTGTGTGCAGGTGAACGGTGTGGATCTGTCCAGTGCCACTCATGAGCAGGCGGCTGCAGCTCTGAAGAACGCAGGGCAGAACGTTACCATTGTTGCCCAGTACAGACCTGAGGGTGAGTACTGCAGCTCAACACGTCTGTACAGCTGCTGTGGCCCACGGACGTTGGTGTTTCCACAGCTTTGACAGAATATGCCATGTATATGTGCTAGGAAGTCCAAATCTATTTTTTTTTTTAGCTTGGTTAAAACCAGAAACTCTTTGTTCTTTTTGTTTTCCTTTCAGTGAAAACAAAATATTCCAAACACTGTCCAAAGGAAAAAAAACAGAATTTCACTTTGACCATCTTAACAAAACTGACCTTTCCTTTGACATTTCATTAAATGGAAAATAAATTCACAGAATATAAATCAAGGAAGTGCATTGCATTGGTGCAATATATTAGCATATATATTACTAATTTAACGGTTATAGAGAGCGGGCTGACCTTTGACCCTTAGTCTCTTTCACCCACTTCCTCGTATTTAACATATTTAAAAATGTTCAGAAAAGCAAATTATGAATTTCCCTCAGGTGGTTAATTCTTTACAGGTGAACAATTTAACTGCCTGGATCTGCCAAACTTTTAGGTGAAGATATTAGGTTTGCTACTTTATATGCAAACAGTTATCCACAAATATATTGGGTCAACATATTAAAAAAGAGTTTTGTGAAAAATATTATATAAGGCTTAGAAGTATTTGCAGGGCAAAAGTTAGTCTATTTCATATTGAAAGGAAAAGTAGTGTAATAAAAGTAACTTTGGAATTATCTTTAGTTTCTGCAGGTCATTGTCAGCCCCCGAAACTTCACTTTTTGGAACACTTTTATCACGTTTTATATTTTGTACACTAGTTGAATAGGATAAATAAACACAGAGGACAAAAATAAAACTACATTTTTATCCTCGTTGTATTTGTTCATTGGTTGTGACCAAGGTCAGGAAGACTGTGAAAGCAAAAGATAAATGAGCTGTGACTTTTGGTGGAATATAAATTGTCAATTCTAAAAGAAACATTTGTCAGTTCCTCAAAGATTGTCTTTTCTTTCAGAAAAGTGCTTTTGGAATAGATTGAATTGTCTTATTTTGAAAATTGAAAATTTGAAAACTTTTTTTTCTCAGTAAAACATAGCTTAATATGAGAAAATCTTGAAACATGATTTTCAGCACCATGGACAGCGACCTTGGTGATTTTTTTAATTGAAATCAGAAACTAGCTTCTGTACTTCAGAGTCTGGCACAAAATCAGTAGCCAATTCTTCAACAATTAATTATGTCATTATTATTATTATCTTTTTTGTTGATAATTAGTTTAATTTGTGCATTTCTAGCTCAGTTCTCAGTTCTCAGTTCTCAGTTCTCTGCTCTGGCTCGGTCTGTTGTTGTTTTGTGAGTCGTCCAGAGGCGGGTCACACCGGGGGTCTGAGGTGGAGCAGATGGTCTCAGTGAGATTAGTCTGTGCTCTAGGTTTAATGTCCAAGACGTTTCCTGTTCTACATTCAATAAATAACCAGATTACAGGAAAATGTGTTGGGACACACTTAGTGTGTGGGGTGGAAGCGTGGGCTACCAGTGTCGTGACTCACACACAGATCTCATTAGTGACTTCTGAAGGAACTCCATATCAAACCGTCTGTCCACGCTGATCTGTGGTCAGTTCGTGTCTGTGTGTGTGTGTGTGTGTGTGTGTGTGTTCGTGTGGGTCGGTCCGAGGTCCATTTTTGTCCCGTTCCCGCTGCTACAACACGCAGTGACCAGCAGGGTTCCCTCTGTTTCATAACAACACCGATGCCAACAAGAGGGGTAGTTGGTAACCACATCCACCAGGAGAGGAATGAAGTGTGTGTGTGTTTGTGTGTGTGTGAGTGTGTGTCATGGTAAAAGACATGGTGGATTCAAGCTGATGCAGCAGATTTGGGTATTGGGATCTTTGTGGTGGAGCAGATGGAGTGTGTCCGTCCTGCTGTGTCAGTGATGAAGTCACAGTCGCCGTGTCTTTCCACCAGGTCTGTGTCTCTGTGTCTCTGTGTCTCTGTGTCTCACCTGTCGGCCCTGAATAGAATCTTTGTGCAGGTGTTCGATTTAACGCCCGAGCAAAGGTGACGAGCAGAGTTAGCATAGGTGACGTTTTCCTTTTTCCATACCAAGAGAATGTAGCTCCCTTCATGAGCCTGTAGGGGGTGTTGGAACACAGACTCACTCTGTTTGGTAAATACAAAACGAATTATTTATTATAATCAACTCCTAATTTGATTAAGACCATTTTTTCCAGGGTAAACCGAGCCAAGAGTCAGCAGTAAATACAAAACACAAAAACACAAGGTTTTAAGATTGACTTTTAAGACTTTAAAAAGCCTCACTGCCACCTCCTGGCTGTTTTGTGAACTGAAAACCTTTGGACACGAATGTCGAATTTTGTATCTAACGATTGCAAAAGAAGACGAGAGGAGAAAAGTTCTTGAGGGAATCATTAAGGTTTATTATCCAGTTGGCATTTGGATGAAAAGGACTCTCAGGAAGAATTATGAACATTTGGCTGATGAGTTCATCCTTGAACTTCCATCCTGGGTTTAATTTTTATCTTTGAATTCCTCCTGGAGGCAGTGGTTGTTTCAGTCTGTGGTTCTTCAGACTCAGTTTGATTCAAGCTTAAGTCAGAAAGTTTAGGAGTTTGAGGTGGTATTTATCACCTATGGGGCGATTTAAAGGGCAACAGCAGAGAGTGCAATAAAGAACATTCCATAAGAAAGAGGAAATATTCTGCTGTATATATAAGAAAATGCACCAGCTGGTTGTACCTGTACATGTATTGCACCATCATTATACATTGTATTTTACAACAGGTCACTTTCAGAACAGGAAGGTGTTTTGATAAATGTGTATAAATGGACATGACATTTAAAAAAAAAAGGTTTCTATCCTGAACATCACAAGATGATATCACACTTCACACTTCTGCCCTCTGGTGATGTGAGTTTGACAACAGTATTAGTGACTGGGATTACACACCACGCTCACACACGTGCTGCACACACAGACACACAGTCAGTGGAGGCGGTGTCTGTCAGCAGCAGTAGTTGAGGTGATTTAGACGGGATTATCTGCACTGCTGTAAGCTTGTTTATTTCACTGGGCGCGTGTGTGTGTGTGTGTGTGTGTGTGTGTGTGTGTGTGTGTGTGTGTGTGTGTGTGTGTGTGTCTGTGTGTGTGTGCGCCCCAGGCACCAGTTAAGATGAAGATTAACAGCCTCATCTTTGAGTTTTTCTTCTTTTTTCCTCTGGCACCACGTTGTGAGAGTTGTCGTCAGCTCATGGTCCAGTCGACTGTTTTCTTCTTTATTTATGGCTCTGTGTTTCTTTCCTTTATTTCCACCTGTCTTTCGCTGCTTCCTCCTCAGTACCGCAGGTGTCAGTGGTAATGATCTGACTCACCGCCCACAGTGTAGTTTGGGTGACTCAAGGCGGCGGCCATGTTGAGAAAATGACTGATTTGGAGGTATATGGCGTGTACACCGTACTGTATGTCCAATGCTTTAAAAATGGGTTTGTCCTTTTTTTTTACATTTATCGAAAAACATGGCTTTGTATTGTTGTTATTATTATAGCATCCCCCCCCCCCTCACCCTCAATTCATCTCCTCTGCAATCTGATCTCTTGATCAATACCATTATAGATCTGTGCGCAGAGCTGCATCAGTGACAGAGGTGCTGCTTCCAGCTCAGCTATTTTTAGAACCAGGGCCTGATGTCTGTGTGTGTGTGTGTGTGTGTGTGTGTGTGTGTGTGTCCAGATTCAGGGGAAATGTTTTTTTTCCTCACTCAATTCCCTTTCTATAGAAGCGTTGCATTTTGAGCTCAGTGTTTGTAAACACTGATGAAGATCCACTGGTCATCCTCACGACATCATATCCAACCGATGTCTTTCACTATGAGTCCAGTGTTCTTTGGGTTCAATGCCTCTCCCGTTCTTCTTCAAACACAGACCCTCTGATGTTCCAGGGTTTTTTTCACAGTCATCTAACCTCTGACTGTCCTTATAGTTGACCTGGGAGTTGTTAATGAGTTCAGTTTCATTTATCCAGATTTCGATTGTCACTGTGTCTTATTTGTCACAGTGATGAGTGATGTCAATTCTAGTTCTAATCAATCATCATAACCTCGTGCTATGGCTCTTTAAAATGTATGTCATTTACATCCTGTTTAAATTATTTTTCCCCAAATTTGAAAATGCTCAGAAATCTGAAGCAACTATTTAGTTTTTTTCACCTTTTACATTATTTACATTTACAAGGTAAACATTGACTTATATGTAACTGTAACTGGAGGACAATTCTCGTCTGAACATTGGAAAGAAAGAAAGGAAGGAAAAAGGAAAGAAAGGCAGAGGACAGGGGAGTAGAACAGAGGGGAGGAGAGGAGGTGAGGAGAGGGGAGGTAGCAAATGAAGAGGTGAGGGGACATGAGCCCCCGAGCTATTTGTCTCTGTCACCCCGCCTTTCCCCATTTCTTTCTTTCTGTTCCCCGTCCTCTCTTCTCTCTTCTCCCATCTCTCCCTGCATCTTTCTCTGCTTTTTTCTCTATCCACCCCCCTGTCCCCCCATATCTCTCTCTCTCTCTCTCTCTCTCTCTCTCTCTCTCTTCCATGCTGTAACTCAGATCCTGCTGCATTAAGATTTGTGCCGATAGCGTCAGGTCGAAGCCGATCACGCCAACCTTAAATCCTGATCCTGATGTGTTTGACCTGCAGACCATCCGATCATTTCTCTGTCCATAAATGAAACGTATAGAAAAGGTCAAGGAAAGTTTAATGTGAGTGAACAACAAACACTGCTGTCTATACGTTAGAGTCAAACCTTTTCTTCAAGATGCGTGACGTTGATGTGTGTCTGGCATGGAGACCTGGTCACTGAGCCAACGTAGGGCAGGGTAGACTGGCATGGAGTCCGCTTCCTGAGGAAACAGCCGTAGTGTCCGTGCGTGTGTGTGTGTGTGTGAGAGAGAGAGAGAGAGAGTGCGTGCGTGTGTGCGTGTCTCCCTGCCCTAGGGCGAGCTGCTGTCAAAGGGAGGGAGGAGCAAGTGAACGCATCAGCGAGCGAGGGATAGAGAACAAGTGTAGTACAGAGTTAGCATCTGTTGTTTCAGAGGCAGCTGAGCAGCCCTTAACTGCACACACACACATTAACACACTCACACTCACACATTCTGAATTTGTCACATTCAACCGCACACTTTCACATATCGGTGCACACACACACACACACACACACACACATATTTCTGCTCTGGCTTACTCACATCCTGAATCCAGCGTGGAACTGACTGTACCAGGGTGCGTTCTCCATCGGTTCTCTTTCCCACACACATGCACAGAGAGAGCGAGAGAGAGAGAGAGAGAGAGGGAAGGGACTGAGAGAGAGAGAGCATTGCTCCATATCCTGCTCACACTCTCTTTCTCTCTCTTTTTTTCCCTTTTTCATTCACATCTTTTGACTTTGAGCTTCAGAAGACACACACACACACACACACACGCACACACACGCGTGGTGCATCACACTGTTGTGGACGTGGAGCTCCCTCTCCTCCGGCAGCATGTGAGTACAGACGATCAGGATTCACGGGTGAATCTAGAAAAAGAACTCATTGATTTAATATCTTCACTTGTCATTTTTTTAAACTTAATTCGTGGTCGGCCGTGTGTGTGTGTGTGTGTGTGTGTGTGTGTGTGTGTGCTCCCTCATAGGAAAAAAAAGTGATGAAAATTGCAGCACTGACCTCTCAGTCAGCTTTCATTAGTGCAGCAGCCTCAGAAACACCAGCTCAGTGGTTTTGCCGTGGAGTCGATAGCACTTTATATCTTTGCTGCCGCACAGTCTCGGTCGTTTCCTGCCGTAGGGTTTCTAACATTTCAGTTCTTTTTTTTTTCTTTTTTTTTTGCTGAATCTTTAACTCGTGTTCTCTCCGGTGCATGTTGTTGTTCATAATGCTGTATAAAAGATAGACACAGCGTGGATCTGTTTTAGTTTAAAAAAAAAAACCTGCTCAGTTTTCGGCTGTTTGTGAAGCTGAGCTGCATCTGGAGGATGTGGAGTTGTCAAAACTGCGACAAAAATAAAGACTTGGTGCCAATTTTGGGAATGCAGTCTTTAAGTTAGTAATGGGAACATTGAATCAGGCCAAAGGCTTTTTATAAATGTTTTGTTTTTGTTTTGTTTTTACGTGTAGTGGTAATCTTGTTTCTTAGTCTTTATACCAGATAAACAGGGAACTCTTTGTTCTTTCACCAGAAATCTCTGTGTGAGCCTTAAAACCAGGCTAGATTTACATGATGTTTAATGGTCGTTCACACTGAAGGCAAAACGACAGCAGAACAGAAACAGGAAACAGGAGAAGTCGGCAGAAATATCACTAATTCTGTCCTTTCTTTTGTGTGTGTTCACCATGATTGAATTACTGGAGCTGAGTTGTCCTCTTTAGTCCACGTTATTGGTTTAAAAAGACGCACAGTCAGACAAGGGGTGATTTTCCTCATTTAATCTTATTTGAGTTTCTGGTAAAACTCCATGATAAAAAGTACTTTAAAAAGTACTTAAACTGTCTTCAAAGATCTGCTGAAAAACACAGCAGTTTCTCTGAACTCAGGTTTATGTCCTTTTGTGGCAGCAGGCTGAAGGTGAGCAGTGTGGGGTTATTACTCTTCCAGAGGAGAAACAAAGAAAGCAGTATCAATCATTTGAAGGGCGCATTAAAGACGCATTATGTTGTTTGTCGTCCCACGCTGTGCATCTACATAAATAAAGCACATTCATATTTAAACAGGCGCGATAGCAGTTTTATGTCCCGTGAAACAGAACGGCTCAGAAACGAAATGGTTTTTGTTGCATCAAGAAAAGAAGGGAATTAAAACCCAGGGCCAAATCACTGGCTCGTGTCCTGATTGGCTGACGGTCGCTGGTCACAACTTCAATCAACTGGGTTGATTTTGTCTTAATGCAGATAAGTTTATACTTCGAGTTACCACAGCCTGACATGTCACCGCTGGAGTCCCATTTGTGTAACTTTCTGAGTATGACAGCAGCGTCAGAATGACACGTCTCACACACACACACACACACACACACACACATGCATAAAACTCCTTAAAAACGAAATTGTCTCAAAGAGTGATCCTACAACTGAAATGAGGTCTATGCTGAGGCCAAAGTTGCTATAAAAAAAAGCAAAAAAAACAAAACAATGTTTGTCGTCTCTTGTCTTGTGTGTGTGCAGAGTACAGCCGTTTTGAGGCGAAGATCCATGACCTGAGGGAACAGATGATGACCAGCAGCATCAGCTCCAGCTCGACGTCGCTCCGCTCCACACAGAAACGCACACTCTACGTCAGGTAACACAAAACCACACCTGCACAGGGTGTCCGACTGTCTCTGGGCCTTCAGGTCTTATCTCCGCTGTCTACTGTTTCATTGTGAGTGTGTGTGAGTGTGTGTGAGAAATGCTCAAAGCAGGGTTATCACTTCTGGAATCACTAATAGATTGTCTGGCAGATGCTGAGCCACACTGCTGCACCGTTCTTCTTGTTTTCCTCTGAGCAGCAGAGATGACTTTATTCCACCTCCTTTCATCACAACACTCACAACTTGATTCAAGATATTGATCAGACACTGGGTCACGGCTCCAGATAAATCTCACTGAGCTCTTTGGAGATCGATAGCAGGAGGATAATGGAGAATGCTAAAGCAGACTTCATTGGAGCTAATAGTTTTATCGTCTTTGTGAACTTTACAAATGTAGTGTTACTCTGGGAGCTGGAGCATCAATACTCCTGGTATCAGCAGTACAGACTGGGGTTCAATCTGAGGTAATACTCATCATGTTTGACTTCTTCAGCTTGGCTTAGTGATCAACTGATTTTTTAACATTTTTAAGTCTAAGGATCACAAACTGATAGACCGATGGAGTAGAACCCCCAACCTCACTGTATAAAATTGTCAGTTATACCATGAGCTGTGCCAAGTGGGCCACGCTGTCATAGTGGTCGGTGCTATTCCCAAACCGCAAACCAGATCACAGATGGAGGATGCTACAGTGTCCTCACAAAGTCCGAGAAACACATAGAACACACATAGGCTGTTCACGCCAAAATGACCATAGGTGTGAATTTCAGTGTGAATTTTCCAGAGACACTTCAGCTCCTGCTTAACCTTGAAAAAGCTGAAGTGGTAGAAGATGAATTGTCTGGAAATCTACCGTTTATTCAGCAGTTATTGATGAGCTAATAAACAGGTTTAGATTCACGCTAACATTTGAAACAGACTCAAGCTGTGGCAAGAAAATATGTTAAAATGTTGTTACATTTATTTTCATTTATTCTATCATATTATTTCAGTTTCAGTTTTTCCAGCTGTGATCTAAAAATATATATTTTCATTGGTTATATATATATATATATATTTCAGTTCAACAGTCAAATATTTCACATGACCTGAACGTTACCTAAGTGACCTGGAAGTAAACGGCAGCAGCAGCAGGATCAGTCACCGTGAACTGAACATACTCTCAGAGAGACTGACGTTCAAAGGACAACGGTGCCAGAAAGGTTGAGTGGAATTTTCCAGGCTTATTTTTTTTATAACCATCAAATAAAAACATCCACGTATTGATCCACCTGCTGTTTATCGCCGTTAGCATGTAGCATTTTTGTGATGAATCTGCCTGTATAAAGATCAGGTTCAAATTGAACAGGAAATAACAGCGACTGTTGGGTTATTGTTGCTGCCAAAAACGTCAGCAAATGTTTGAAGGTTCATGGGTTTTTGTTTGGGGTTTAAAGTAGGTGGAATTGTCAAAAGCTGAACGGCAAATCAAACATGTTTATGGATCATGTCTCCATGTGAATGTCAGACTCAGATCTAATACATTTTCATTAATGACCAGGACACCTTCCCCTGAGGTAACTGACTTAGAAGATGAAACCCAATAAGGCTGTTCCTCCAAGCCATGTTTAAAATAAGACCAAGGACATTTCAAGGTTGTATAGGATAACATAATAACCCATGAATGCCCCGTGTCATCAATCTTTGTCACATGACACCTGCAGTACCCCTTTACTGCCCATTGATGATCTATTAGTGTGTGAATATTGAGAAAAGCTGCTGATTGGTCAGGAGGAGGCTGCCGTCGCGTGACAGATTCAGAGTGTCTGCTGCTCCGGGGCTGATAGCTGTGTGTGTGTCATCATTCATTTACATACTGTGCATGTGTGTGGGTGTGTGTGTGTGTGTGTGTAAAGAGGGTATTCGAGTACAAATGTGCAAAATGTGTAGGACACACACTTACCTTTTCTCAGGGAAAATGTCAGTGAGGCAAGGTGACATGCACAATGTATGACTTATTTGTGTGTGTGTGTGTGTGTGTGTGTGTGTGTGTGTGTGTGAGAGAGTGCATTCTCTCCTCATTTACATTCACACCTTCCTGCTCCTATTTTAAACTCACTGTATAGCTCAGTCACTTGGAATTTTTTTTTTTCACTGCACAGCATTCACTGACTTTGGGAAACAGAAATGTTGTTTAGAACTAGTCTGTTTTTCTGTAATCTTTTTATTCCAGTGCCATAAGATTGCCTTGACTTTCTGAATTTATTTCTGAATTTATTATTATTGTCGGATCGTGTCGATCGAGTGAGGAGAAAATGTATTTTGCAATAATCCTCTAGGGGGAGCTGTTTGGGAGATGTCACCTGTACCCTGCTGAGACCAATCAGCACATTAGCACCTCAGCGACACACTTCCACTGATTATAAACCACACATTTGAATGATGTGAGGATCAAATCATGTCGTGCTGCCGGGTGCTGAAAAATAATACCGTGAATGTGTTTGACGCTATCAGGTTTCAGGACATTGGCTTCTTGATGACGATGTTTATTTTCTATTTCATGAGGTCAATAACAATAGAAATTAAATTAGGGGAGAGAACCGTAACAAAAATCCATTTCTCTCTGCAGCGTGTCATGGACAGATCCTGTCCTGGATCCTGAGGAGGATGGAGTTCTAGACACCGTTGCTTTCATTTAAAAGCAAAAAGAAGAGTTTTAAAATTCATCTTGCTCTCCTTCTATTACCCCATCAGTCAGTGTGTTTGACCCGCGAGGGAATTTATTTTGAACAATTTGTGTCCAATAGTGGTGGGCTCAACTCGTGGAGCGGGGGCAGCAACTGTGTCCTGTGTTTACTTTGTGTCCTTCAGGAAACCTGAGACTTTTCTAGGTGATGCAGAGAGAACACGACAGACTGATGTTTCATCATCTGTCTTATTGATCTGAGTCCCTGGGTCGGTGTCTCCGCAGCAGGACGTCAGGTTCCATCACAGCAAAATCTGTGAAAGTCAAAGGACGACGGGGACGCAGAGTCTCGTCCCTCTGCTCCTCGTGTCCTTTCATCACGTCCACTTCTGTCTAATGGACACTGATGTCTTTCTGCTGTTTGATTAATATGTAATACTGTGATGTCAGACTCTCTGAGTCCAACTCTCTGTCTCACTGTCTCACTGCTGTCCTCCCTCCATTTACCGTGCTTTGTTTTATTGATGAAGGCGGTTGAGACTTCAAGGGAGGCTTGTTATTTCAGCTCCAGTTCCTATCACTCACTCACACACACACACACACACACACACACACACACACAAAAAGACACACTGCTGTCCTCTGTTTCCAAGTCTTCTCCCTATAGACAGGTGTACAGCTCTGTGGTGACAGAGACAGAGAGGACATGTTTAGATGAACAACAGTGACACACACACACACAGAAACAGTCTGTCCATGTGTCCAGGTAAAAACTTTTCTCTCTCTCTCTCTCCCTCTCTCTCTCTCTCTCTCTGCAGAGCGTTGTTCGACTATGATGGAAGTGGTTCCGATCAGACAAACCAGGTTCTGCCTTTTCGTTTCGGGGACATCCTTCATTTGAGCAGCGCTATTGAAGAAGAATGGTGGCCCGCCCGGCACCTCAGCCCCCCGCCTCCAAACTGCCCCGAAGTTGGGGTCATCCCCAGCCGCAAAAGGTCAGATGAATCCTGAATTCGATGTAGACTGCCGTCTACTTCCTGACCGCTCACAGCATGAAATTCAACTGAGCATTTGTTTGTTTTATGTTGTGGGTTTTGGATCTCAAATTCATACCAAATGTTTCAATCTGGTTTCACCGTCATGTTCGAATGTAACAAATATGAATTACTGTTGGCTGAAATGGTGTATTCTGGACCACTGTCACTGTATTTTAAACACAGAGTTACTGCAGTTTTTTTTCTAGTCTTCCTTTAGTAAGGCCCCTGTTCTTTTCCTTAGGACAGCAGAGGCGTCGCTGCCTTAAATCTGCCTGTTAGGCCTAACCGTGTTAGCCAGTTGGACTGAGTGAAGGTCCACGTCTTCTTCTCCTTGTGCTGTTTGTCGTCTCACAGTAGAATCGACTAAATGTTGTTCCTTCACCTCTTTATTCCTCTCTCCATCGCTCCCTCCTGTGGAGGAGGTGACAGACAGATGTTCATGGGTTTCTGAGGGAAGTGAGGGCTTGTTAAAATGAGTGAGAGAAGGAGGGAGGGAGGGAGGGAGGGAGGCGAGAAGGGATTACAGTCACCAGGGATAAGTGGGTGTGTGTGCAGGAGGGTGAGGACTGAACATGGGGAAGGACGGATCCAGAGACTGTCACACAGGAGTACAGAGGATGGAGTATTAATAGACTGCAGTGTCAGTGTTGAGGCTGGCTGGGAGAATCCTGCTGTTAGAAGATGTAGCATCGGAGCTAATATAACACAGGTGTTACAGCGAAGGACTGTTGTGACATTGTGTCAGCTTTAGTGGGTCCAGGGTTTAACATGAAAAACATGAGTCTGAATAAACGTGAGATTAATGTTGACCTGTCAGGTGACTCCTTCCTTCCTTCCTTCTTTCCACCTGCAGGTCTTAGTGTGCATAAACCACTCTCTCCCTCTCTCTCCCCACCTTCTTCCATCTCCTACTCCTACACGTCTGTATTTTCCATCTTTCTTCTCGTTTTCGTCCCACTTTTTCTGAAAGTAAACTTCTCTAGCTTTTCCTTTTTCCTCCTTCTCATGTCCACTTATCTTGACTTCTTATCCTGTGAAATCCTAATGAAAGACGACAGAAACATGTCTGAATTTTCAGTCCAAGTCACAAAACGAAAAACTGCAGCGCGTAGTCGCTGCTGATTTGAAATTCAAGCAGTCACAGTGTGATCACCGGCAGGAAATGGTCCTGCACAGGAAGTGACAAATCTAAATTTAAACTTGGGAGACAAAAATGTCACGCAGGAACAAGCAGAATGTGGAAATAAATGTGTCCTATTCCAAAGGCTGGAGCGAGCGTGCCTCCAGTCCTGATACCATTCTGAGAAATTAATCACTTTCACACCCAGATGAGCGGACGCAGACGTGCTGTCGGCTCCAAACTTTCAATTTACCTCTGAACATTTTCATGCAGTTCATTCACCCTCCTCATCCTGTGGTGATGACATGTCATTTCACAGTGATGCTCCGTCAGGAACTGCAGACTCATGTGTTTAATGTGGTGTGAAATTTTGTGACGTTTCTTACATATTTTTTCTTTCTTCAGGGCAGAGAAAAAGGAGAGGTCGAGATTAAAGACGGCCAGAGTGACCAGGTCTCAGGACCGAATGGTGAGTCCAAGGGCTTTGTCACACGAATGTGTGTCTGAATCAATGTAGACGATTACAGAGTAAAGTGAACTTATTTCCAACTTATTTCCAACCGGGATTTGTTTTGAAGTGTCAGTAATTAAACTATAAATATGCATTCCTTATGACAAATTGTCATTTTCTCTTTGACACCTTCACATCTTTGAACTTTGGATTCAAACAACACATCCTTTGAATTCACACGTGATCCAACAACGTGACTTTAATCACACGTTCTCAGCGGGACGATGAGTCGCTGAAACACCAGTCTGACACCAGCTATTGATATCACTCTGGCTGTTTATTCTCCCCGTTTCCCTCACGCTGTGTGAAACAACAGCCCTGACGTAGAGCTGATAATTAAAATTACCCCCTACACACGTGCACACGCACATGCACAGACCCACACTTTCAATTTACATATATAAGTGTTAAAGGCATCTAGTTATTATCTTAGTTAAAATTAATCTGGCTCTTTTCTCTCCCTCTCTCTCTCTCTCTCTCTCTGTCTCTCTCTCTCTCTTCCCTGCAGGAACAGGATGATAAAGGTAAGTATTCTTTGTAAGCTGTAATTAAGTGACCTCTGCTGGAAAGTACATGTAACTTCATCTTGTTTTCAAACCAGTGAAGACAGAACACTTGTGCAGTGTTTTATTTATATATATATATATATATATATATAACCACCACCACCACCTCACTCTGTCCTTTTCCTTCCGTACTTTCAAAGTCATGAAATGAAATTTCTGTTCATGAAAAATAATGGATGTACAGTACGTTCCATTCACCTCCTATAGTTCCAGGACGTTTGCTTTGTCAGCAAATCTTGTCTGAAAAAAAGTCAATGTTGAATTAATCTACAGTAAGAAATAGAGTGTCACACTGTCCCTGTGTGTGTGTGTGTGTGTGTGTGTGTGTCGCTGACTCTGACCTGTCTTGTCCTTCCAGAGCTGGTAACCTCTGGCACCAGTGATAGTGAGAGTAGTTGCTGTAAGTCTGGAACCCCCCCCCCCCCCTCACTTTCCTCCGTGCTGGCGCGTGTTTTGTTGTGTGTGAGTGTGTGTTTTTAGCTTGTGACCCCCCCCCCCCATTTGTCACATGCTCTCCATGAGTTTTGCTGTGTGTGTGTTTAAACGTGTGTGTTTGTGTGTGTGACGTGCACATCATCTCTGTGTTTCCGTGTGCAGTGACATCAGCGTGACCTTCTCTGTTTTTCCAGACAGAATAATTTTTTTCTAGAACTGGTGAAAAAGTCTAAAGTACAAAAAAAAACCTATGGAGGTTTGTTCTGATGGTGATGTCACATGTTTTGTCATTTTTCATTTGTCCAATCAGCTGGTCTAGAAGAGGCCTTCCTGACCTACCAGCCTGTCATTCAGCAAGAAGGTCAGTGTTTCAAAAATACATACACATAGAATTGTTATTTTAATTAAAATAACAAGAAACAAGTTGTTGAAACTGCTTTTTATATGTGACAAATGCTATAGATGCACGTTTTGAATACAGGTCGAGCTGTTTGATGAGTTTCATGATTATATTTACTGTTTTTGTGTCAGGTCTGTGTTTTTCTAATCATATCCTTCACTTCCTAAACTGCAAAGTCATGTCCTTTTTCCCCAAACAGTTCATCTCTTTTGTATTTTTTTAGTGAATTACACACGACCGGTCATTGTGCTAGGACCAATGAAAGATCGGGTAAACGATGACCTCATCTCTGAGTTCCCGGATAAGTTTGGCTCCTGCGTCCCACGTGAGTTTCTGAGGCAGTGTAATAAATCTGAGCCGTCTTCACAAAGATTTAGTTACATTTTAATAACTGAGGCTAGGTGCTGGTACTTTAGCCTGCAATACATTCTAAAAAAAATAAATTGTAAATTTTTGTAATCACCATTTAAATGCATTACTTTTAATCAGAGGCGTTGAAATGTTTTAATGGAAACACAGCTGCAACGATTGCACCTACAAAGTTTAAACATATTTAATCTCAAATGTGCAATTACTGAAAACTACGGTGGTGTGTGCGTGTGTTTAATCTCCGACTCCCAGACACAACGCGGCCACGGCGAGACTACGAGGTGGACGGCAGGGATTACCACTTCATGTCCTCCAGGGAGCTCATGGAGCGAGAGATTCAGGAACACAAGTTCATCGAGGCCGGCCAGTACAACAACCATCTGTACGGAACCAGCATACAGTCTGTGAGAGAGGTCGCCGACAAGGTGAGGCGCTGAGGTCACACTGAGACACGGGACAGAACCAATGATAAAGGATTGAAAGGTTATAGGCTGTGAACCTGCACTTCTCTGTGTCTCCACCAGGGTAAACACTGTATTCTGGATGTATCAGGGAATGCCATAAAGCGTCTCCAGTTAGCTGGACTCCATCCCATCGCCATCCTTATTTGCCCGCAGAGCGTCGACAACATCATGTGAGTAACACTGACAACACAGTGACACCTGGTGGTGAAGATCATTTAATCAACAGTTTTTCCTGCAGCGTCACATGTTCTATCAAGACTGTGGGTTTAATCAGAGCACTTCATCGGCCATGATGGATTCCTGACCATTAACTTATTACCGCTTTTTTTTTGCAAAAATAAGAAATGCTCAAACCCTAATTTAAAAATGTAAAAAGACTGGATCACCAACTGTAATGACCTTTTATGTCTGCAGGGAGATGAACAAGCGTTTGACTGAGGAGCAGGCGAGGAAAACGTTCGACAGGGCAGTCAAACTGGAGCAAGACTTTACTGAGTACTTCACTGGTCAGTGATATTATTTTTGGAAATTCACTAACGCTCCCTAACACTCACCCTAACATTTCCTGTGCAGACGCCTGAAAACACAAGAAATAAACGTACATTTTAAGGCTTTCAAAAAATGCAGTACTCCTCTGAGCCACTCGAAGGCGCTCCTACCTCTCGTCACTCAATAGTCAACTTTAGTGTTCAGAAAGAGGAATGAGATATTTGTAGAAATATGACCATATATATATAAATTCCTGTGATTTATAAAATGATAATCTTGCCAAGTAACTTTTTTTATTTTAACTAGTATTTTGATAATTATACTACATGAAAAACTTTGATTATATTTGTTTTTCTTCTCTTCGTATCTCCGCAGCTAAAGTCCAGGGCTCGTCTCTAGAGGAAGTCTACTCGCAGGTGAAGCAGATCATTGAGGAACAGTCCGGTCCGTACATCTGGGTTCCAACCAAGGAGCGAATATGAATAAACACACGTGACACACGACATGATCAGACAAAAAAACTCTTCAGTACTTCAGTACTTCCTATTTGGTGGTTTTCTATTATCAGCCTGCTTCCTCTCCCTCTCTCTCTCTCTCTCTTATTCTCTCTTGCTCTCTCCCCTCCCGGTACACACACACACACACACATTGCTCTGAACATACATACACTTGCACAAGCACATGAAGTTGGACGAGGCTGGGACAATCTGGGACGGCTGCTCCCTGCAGGGGGAGGAGCTCTCGTCGGTCCAGCAGCCCATTGGTCGATTCCTACGGCTCAGTTCCTTAATGTTTAAGGAGGCGGTTCAGTTTTTGAGGGCGTGTACCATGATCTGATTTGTTTTCAAAGATTATTGTCGTTCTTATCGTTGTTGTCGTCGTTTTCATATTAACGAAGGCTAATGCATCGAGCTGTGGGTTCGTAATGGTTCTACTGTCACCGGGAGGCAGACTGTTGCACGCTGTAGCTTTAAAAGCATGGTTATTTTGGGGAGAAAAATCTCGATTTCTTCGTCTGTTTGTCCGTCCGTCTGTCTTCCCTCATGACATCACTCACACTTCAAGGTTACTCTGTTTCTTTTCTCACACTACCGTCACCGCCGTCCTCTTCCTTAGGATTATTTCCTGAAATTTGAGTTGGAAATTTTACTGTTTACTTTACTGTTAAAAGGGAAACAGTTTCTCAACTGCTTGGAATTGGATTTGGATTGTCTTGGAATTGGATTGTCTGCACTAAAGTGTAAATGAATCATGTTTTTCATTTCAATGCTGGAGAATAGCATTGAAATCCCTGCGGAAAAGAAAATTATCAGTTCCATATTCACGTGGTGCAAATGTTTCCAGGCCAGTGAGTCCATTTACTGCTGTATTTGCAGCCTGTATTTCAAGTATTTATATCAGATGTAGAGAACCACACTGTGAAGTTCTCCGCATCACTAATGTTTTCCTTTTATCCTGGATCATTTTTTATTCATTCCTGTTTTCCTTCTATCCTGGATCATTTTTTATTCATTCCTGGAGTTTGATGTTTAGAAACAAACAAGAATTTAGTTTTTTGTACTTGAAAAAGAAAAGGCTGCGAGAAGCCTGTGCAGAGTAAATGTAAATACCTGCCTAAAACTTTGCACAGTAGCGTGTGTCCAGACGGGAGAATTCTCTTTGTGTTCAGAACAGAATCAGATTTTTTTTTCTTCCTTCTCATCCTTCCTTTCCTCGTCCATTCACTTCTCACACTGTGACGTCGGTTGAGGATTAAAACAGTGAATCATCTTCATCTTTGTGTTTCTCTTCACGCTCTACTCTATTATCACAGTATTCTTCGTCAGTATCACAGTAGCTTTACTTCTAACCCTTGTTGCACGACTGAGGGCTGGTTTCCCTAAAGCATCTCAGAGAGTCACGTCCGATAAAGTCACACTGTGTCCGGCCGTAGTACGGATGTGACGTCGTCTTTAGACGATTCGTAAATTTGATCGTCTTATCGTCTTCGCTGCACGCCATGCCTTCAATTATGAACTTACTACTTACTACTAGGCAAAATACTACCCTGGGCTACTCAACATACCAGGTACATATCCAGTATACTGTTGAATGCATTGGTGTCCAGTAGTTCAAGTTGCGTTGCACTTGGATTGATATTTTGAGCATAACTAAAGAGGCAGAAACGACCTGTCCTCACACACCTGTTTATCAACAGCTCAAGCTCAGCTTTATTTCGCTTCAGAACGGTCTGCTCCCTGACCGACACCTCACATCGGACGGACACTGTTTGGGACTGACTTTAAATAATACACAACCATTCAGATGCTTTTCGGTCACACAGCCCCCGTATATGGACCTTGTCAATCAA